GCGCGAAGGTAGGCTTGATCGGTACCCAACGACTTCGTTTGACGATGACTTGCGTCAGGTCCACAAAGTTCGATACGAAACCGACCATCTGCGCCATGCACGGGGCCCCAGATCAACTATAAGTCGCGCCATTATCTGGCCCGTTTTCAGTACAGTACTGTACGTTTTATAGTCGAACAGGGGCGATGCGAGCAGGTCGACCGGCGGGCCCGCACCGCGCCGCATACAGCGGCCATCCGAACCGAATACGACGGTTGCCCTCCCCTCTGAGGGGAGAGGCAAGCCAATATCCGACCCAGCGATGGCACTCCACTTAAGTTGCCACATGAGAGATTCGATCGTTAAGTCTGTACATGATGGACTCTGATGTTACAAATTGAAGGCGCGGTACACTGCAGAAACCGCCGACGCGGTCGAATTGTGACGCGGCCGTGGCGCACGTATGGTACCGTACTTGCTTGCATGCACAGTCAACTCGAGCCGCAGGCTGGCAGCCAAATCATGGTTCGGCCACCTCAGCGCATATATTATCAATTGCATGAGTAATATACTTTTCTGAGACACTCAGGTTCGGTTCATTCAATTATATAGAATCAAAGTGAATCGTTTATATTGTGCAAGATCGTTTTTACATGATAAATGTTATCGGCAATTGATGGGCGTTCTAAAACACCCACTTACGTACCCAATTGGATCAAATTATACCGTACACGCGGCAGACGTTACCTTCAGGTTGGATGATGGATACGTACATAGTTTCGTGATGTGCTTCACGTGACGTAGATTTTAATGTCTTACGTGCTGTTGAACCGACAACTTGGTCCCATCAATATCGTATATTTGACCGTGATACATGCGAGTGTACTTAAATCTTGGGTCGCCCCAATACTGGGTAGCTTGCTGATGACACAAGGACTCAGCACCTTATCAAGCCGCTTCACAGTGAGAAGCAGTTCTTGCAGACATTGATCCTGAGCGAGCCTTTGGCTGTTTCTGATCTGACCCACCTGTCACGGTGGTGTGCTCGGACCATCAGTGCGATGCGCTTACGCAGCAATGAAACGACCATGTAGAATCTGCAGTTACGGTTTTAGTACCTACGAGCGCTCCCCGTTGAGAGCAGCATTTTGGGCCCCTTCTTGTTCTTCTTGCCGCTTGTAGGCCCCTCTCCGCTTTGCTGCACGCTCGGTTCTTGCGCCACCTCCTTACCCTTTTCGGCCTGCACCTTAGCCGCAAACGAGACCGGCGCGCCTGTGGGGCTGGCAGGGGGCCCCCACCGGGGCGGGGTGGAGCCACTCGGACCCGCCTGCCCCGCCGGTGCGGCCGGATGGAGAGCAGGAGCGTCGTACGCCGAAGCGTAGCCCATCTTAGTGACAGCGGAGAAAGCGATGGGGACCGAGGGGGCAGGCGAGGCAGCGGGCGGGCTGGCACCTGGAAGAGACGGGGCAAGAACATTGGCGGGGGCTGGCTGTCAATTACACATTGTCTGCATTCGACAGAGCGCCTACGCACTTGCATGGGTCTAAAGCAGAGGCATCTATTCCCGTGTCCGGCGTAAACAAAGGGCCATCTTCACGAACAGAAGCTCCAGACACGCCGGCTGCAGTTGTTTTGCGCACCTTGCGGCGCCGCCCCCCCGCTGGCTGCCAGGGCGGCCTCCAGGTCCGCCTCCTCCATGGCGCTCAGCAGTGCCGCAAAGTCCTCGGGGGCGGGCGGGCGACTACGCTCGTTCGCCTGGGCGGCCGCGATCGCCTGCTGGCGCGCCTGCCGGGCGGCCTGCTCGCGCTCCTGCTTCTCTGCGCGCGCACGCCGCCGCTCGCGCGCGGTGATCTCGTCAAGGAAAGGGGCGAAGGCGGAGGCGGGGAGCAGCGGGCGGAGGTCCACCTAGAATAATTGGAGAAAGAGAATTTGGGTGCTGCTGACACCGGCCGCTGGGGCAGGGTGGGGAGGTGGCGCGCCGGGGAGCATGGAGAGGCATCTGAAGTAGCTCAAGACGGAGAAAGGCGGGAATATTGCGTACTTCTGAATTGCTGCTAGATCGCGTCGCCTGAGCTTGAGGTGCTGACCTCGGCGAGCGTGAAGGCGGCGGTGAGGCTGAGGTGGCTGAGGTAGCGGTACTTTTTGCGCGTGCTCTCGCTGGCCATGGTCCCCGCCTCCGCCTCCACCAGGCCCGCCTCCAGCGCGGGCGGCAGCGCCTCGTAGCGCCCGTAGTGCGCCAGCAGGCACTTCATGCTCAGCGGGTGCAAAAATACCGGCTGCCCATCCGCCGACTGTGACCACCACACCACAGGCCGTCAGCAGAAAAACAGCGGCGCAGCGCTTAGCCCTTTCAGAAACAAGCAACGTTGGCCTAGAAGTAAGCCAATAGCTGTTGGCTTGCTGCGATGAAAAGCAAGTAAAGCAGCGGCCGTTCCAATGGCTTGCTTTCTAGACGACTCGGAACTAAGCTTCTCACTCGTACCGTGGAAGCGGAACCGACCAGAGGAATCGACAGCAGTTCTCAGCACTGCCCGACACCTACCTGGTAGAAGCAGTACCACGCGCGCTCCTCCTCCCCCTCGCCGTCTTTGTTTCCCGCTGCCGCGCCGGCCCCTCTCCCGCTGTCCTCTGGCACCTTGGGCAGCCGCTTTTTGCGCCGCCGTGTCCCGTCCGGCGCAAACCCTGCGAGTACGCCTTCCTGGTCGCTGCCCGACTCGGTGGCCGAGCCGTCGTCGTCGGAAGTCTGCGCGCCCTTGCGCCCGGCCAGCCCCTCCTCGATAGTCTTCAACGCCGACTCCTTGCGGCCCTCCACCGAGCGCGCCTCCCCGCTCTCCTCTGACCCTGCGTCAGAGAATGCATCCTCGTACACCCATGCGCCCCGTTGCTTCACTTCGCTATTGCCAGGATCCAGCTCGCCCCAACCCGTTGCAGCGGCTGTTCCCTCTGCCGCAGTCTCGCTTGCGCCCCTCCCCAGCCCGGCATCACTCGCTGGAGTTCCGGCCAGTGCCTTGGCCAGGTCGCGGGGGCTCTTCCCGAGCAGCTTCTGCTCCCCTGCGCCATTCTGCGCCAGGATGCGCTGCCGCACGGGCGGGCTTGACGCGACAAAGGCGGCGCTGCGGTGATCCGCCCAGGCCTGCGCGCGCGCCTGCAGGTGGTCCATGGCGCCATAGATGAACGGCAGCGCGTCAGGGTCCTCCAGCAGGCCCTCCGCCGTGCGGTCCGCCAGGGCCGTCAGCGCCTGCGTCGCAGTGCGGGTCACGCCCTCGATCGACGACGTCAGTGTGAACTGCAGCGGAGCACGGAGAGCAACAGTAATTTGTACGGCGGGCTGACCTGCTGACTGGTGTGGTGTGCCTTTCAGTAAGTGTGCACGCTACGATTGTAAACACCTAGCGCTGCACACTTTCGCTGAAGATTTTATTGAGAGACACGCTCGGCGATACCTGTTGACGGCACCACCATCCTTCGAATATTGTCTACTCGGCACCACAAATGGACACAGTTGAAAATCAATTTTGGCCAGGATGATTTGCCTTTGCGGCGATGCCGCACCAAAAGTCGACACACAAGTATGCCCCACCTTGGCAAATAGGGCGCACTTCCCGTCGTCGGAGTAGCACAGGGCAGTTGGGGACGGGTTGATAGGCCTGTCGGCCTCCGCCCTCTCAAACGGGATAATAGACCCCTTGGCACGTGTGAGCAGGGTGAAGCGAATGCGGTCGCCGGGGTTGTACTGAGGAACCGACCGGATGCTCACTGTGCGCAGGTCCTGGCAACCGGGAGGGCAGAGGGTCAGCAGGGAACGACCACGCGGGGCGGAGGCGAAAGCAGGGGGATGGCTGGACGAGACAGGATGCAAGCCTTGCACAACAGAGCCGGTAAGAAAAGCCAATGAACACATTGTTCTGGAGGCTGAACTGTTTAGCGAGGGCTAAACAGAACAAGGGACTCCAAACCAGGCCCCACGACCCCTCTTCCCCTTGGCACAGCCATCTTGCATGCCACTCCGTCTATCCAGACGAGGGATATCCACAGCGCAGGCTGGCCGTCACCGAGCCGTACCTTGATGGCAATGAGGGTGAAGCAGAGGGGGCACTTCTTCCACGGCCCGTCACCCTTGTAGTCCACCGCGAGGGCCTCCCCCTGCGTCAAGTATCTCAGCAGACTGCAGCAGCCAGCAGGCAAGTAGGCCGCAGTCAGAGGGCGCAGCGCAAGGATCGTGTGTGCAAACGATTCAAAAACGGGCAAGCCTTTATGACAACACCGATATTTCCGATCCTGCCAACGTTCTTGTTTGCCGCTTGACAAACCTGGAACCAGTTCAGAGGTCTGGCAAAATGATCTTATCTACTATTCATCAGCCCAGACTCAAACACCTCACACTACCTGCTCCACTCTGCATGCCCATAGCTGACAGCTGCGTCACTGCGCTGCGTGTGTGCCTTGCTGGCGTGCCTCACCAGGGGAAGCAGAAGATGTGGCCGCACAGCGTGATTTGCGGGCAGCAGGGCGGCTGCTCCAGGCAGATGGGGCACTGCAGCGCGGCCGGCGCCAGCACCTCCACCGCCGCCACGTCCTCCCAGTCCAGCATGCGGTCAGGGTCGCGCACCGCGGCAGAGTAGTCCGACAGGTCGGACACCTGGCACAAGGAGAGGATAGGAGACCCTTTCGTCAGCCTGCATGACCGAAGCACCTACCAAGCCATCTGTCCTCCTTGACCAGCAAGATGCAATAAGTACAGGATATGAGCTGATGATCGACCTGAGCGGCTCCATCCTCTCACGCTCTGCATGTCCGCAGGTTGCAGACACCGGACCCTCTGTTGCGCCAGAGGCTGTGCCCAAGCCCCAGGGGCTTCAAAAAATTTCGGGCACGTAACAGCTTGACCCTGATGACACCCGTCTTGAAGCAGTGCAAACTCTTGTTTGACAACGTTCAACGGGCCAGAGTCTGGCACTGTGGCTCCACTAGGCTGGAATCACAGCCCGTACATGGAGGCCCTCTCCCCTTAGGCCCTCTGTCTGCTCACCAGGAAGCGGAAGTTTGCCTGCAGGAACAGCTCCTTGTTGTACGGCTTCAGCCTCTCTCGGCGCCGGGGCGGCGGCGGGTGCCGTGCAGGGGGCTGCCGCCTGTGCTCCTCATACTTGAAGTTGAGCAGGAAATTGGCGTTCACCGCCTGCCCACGCCGTGCTTGAGCCGCGCCGGCAGCCGCAGAGGCTTCTCCACGCGGCTGGGGCGGATGCTCAGGTACGGCCACTGCACCGGGGCGATTCTGCAGAGCAGAGGAGAGGCCCCCCGGAGGTGTGCTTGCAGGCGCTCTACCTGGCCCCCCGGAGGAACCCGACAGCGGCCGTGTACTCTGTACTTCCCACCCGGTCACTCGAGGGGGAGCATTGATCGTCGTGGCATTGGCCGCTCTGCCGCCAGACTTTGCAGGACTGCCCTGGACGTTGCCCTGCAGGGGTGGAGCAGCTGCATGAGCGCCTGCCAACCTGCCACCTCAGAACCTGCCAGGCAATACAGTTCGAAGCTTCCTCGCCAGTCTTGCCAGTCTCTCTTGGTTTCCATGAGAGCCCAGCTCATGGAACGCTCATGAAGCGCTTGAAAATTGAATTCTAGCACTTCTACAGATGCTTTGGCTGCTTGTGCAAGCCCTTACCCGCCTGCCAGCCGGGCCCAATGCCATCTGCTGGGACCTCGCCTCAACGCCTGGGGTCCGAGCATTGACCACCGCTTCTGCACAAAAACAGGTTATCTCAGTGAAAAGACAAGGATGCATTCCTTGATGGCTGTGTATTCCGTGTAGGAATGACACAACGCTGCGTCTGTGTCTTGAACTACACAGGGCTCTAGAGGCACAGGCCCTGCAACCAGTCCATCAATTGCAATAAGCTGCCGGGCATGCTCCTGATTGCACACTGCCACCAAGCTATGATTTCAAGCACCTTTTACAGCAAGCTTGTGCTCACGAGGTGTATGTTTGCAGATGGTGGGCCACTCGGTCGACCTCTGTGGCCCGCAGTCAGGCGCCTGCTTCACTGACAATGACGTAGGACACATGGAGACGACTCACTCACCTTTTCTGCCCCTGCTTGGTGCTGGCAGCAGCCCCTTTTGCGCCCATGGCTGATTGGCCACATTGGAGGAAGGCGCCCCAGGCCGGAACTCTTGAGCGAACGGATTGAGCGCAGCCCCTGTGGCTGCCGCATGGGGCAGCTCCGCAGTCCGCTTCTGCAATACCTGGCCCTGCTCCTCGAGAGCGCCGCCGCCGCCATTGCCTGCTGCACCTGCCCTCCTGCCTGCCAAGCTTGCATTCTGCGGCTTCGGGAACACAGGAGGTCCTGCGGGGCTAGCCGCGGCATTGGGAGTCAGTGCGCCATGGTGGGGAGTGTGAGGCCAACCCGAGGAAAGATTGTCTGAATTAGAGTCTGCAGCTGTAGGGGACGTGCTATGCATAAATGGAGAGGAGCGTTTGAGGACGTCGCCACCTTATGAAGCGGGGCATTCACTAAGAAGGAACCAATCACACACAAAACTTGGCCAGGAAACCCCTTGCCGTTGAAGTCTCGGCGTTCTGCTGCAAAGGTCTGGCCACACGCATGTAAGGGACTACAAGAGGACTTCGGCAACGGGCAGCACTAAAGGGTTTGAGCCCAGCTTGTCGCCCACTTCTTGGCGATTCTCGGCAAGTTTTAAGCAGGAAGAATCCCTGCAGGGATTGCGAACCTGCCTCTCACTGCTTCGCCGAACCTGACCGCCAGAGACAAGACTTCCGTGCCCTCAAAGTGCAGTGCTGCTAGCAATTTTTGAAGGGCCACAATTCAATTTCCCTCGTCTTCAGGTACAAACGCATGCACTGGCAGGTTTTCTGTCCTCCAAGAGATGTTCTCTTCTCAAGTCGAGGGGAAGCACCCATGCATCTGCCCGATTCGGATGAGGCACCAGCAGGAATGGCAAACGGTGACCATAAGCGGTGGCTTATTTCTAGATAAGCTTCTCCATGGATTGTGACTTGGGTCGTTTACAGAATAAGGTCCAAGGATTCCTCGAGCCAGTTTGAGGCAACTCGTGGAATTTGCCTTGCAGAAGGAAAACGTGAGCTGTATTTCACAGTGTTTAAAATTAGAGCAACACAAAACTTTGAAGTTTTGAGAGCGCCTCACGAGTAGTACCAGAGACCTAGTAGTACCAGAGACCTGCTTAGCCCGGGAGCTCTAGCTGGCTGGATCCTTGCATTAGTGCTGGCAGCGATCCACGCGTTGCAATCTGTATCTCGAAAGTCAGGGATCTGGAGTCGCTTGGCCGAGACGAGCCTGGCTAGGCAGTTGGAATCAGAACTCAACCACACGGCCGTGATTCTGTTTACCTTGTCACGTGGTGGCGGGCTATGGGAGCATATGAGATCGAGCAGCGAGCATGAGCAAATTGCCAGTGAGTATGCGTCTGTCTAGCCCGGAGGTTTTCTGCTTGACAAGTTTAATGCCTTTTACAGGGGTTGCTCATTCAAGGTTCTTCAGCTTCTTTTGTGATTGATTGCTGTGTTCAGAACATCCCTTTTTGGTGATATCGCATGTGGCTGTTCCAAGTTCTGGGTCAAAATCAAGACATGCTCTTGCATTCATTCAGAGAGGTATTAGTGGTATTTTCTCTCAAGGAGGTCAAGTAGGTTGTGGACTATCTAGGAGCATTTTGGATCTGTGAAGTTGGACCTTAGTCATCATGTAGAGCAACAGGAGGTTTTGAGTGGTCTGGCTGGTAATAGTCCATGATTCTTGCACCAGAACCGTTACCAGGTTTCTGCATCTTGCCCCATGCTTGCTTGCATTAAGATCTTGGAACTTTCAACTGCAAGTTACACCTTTTACACATTTGCAGGCAGACAATACTGTGGTGCCCAGCGTTTCTTTTCAGACTGCCTCTATGCTTGCTGATTTGACATTTTCCGTTGCTACAGGTTATTCTGTTCGGTGACTTCACTTTGGATGAGGCTACCCGCTTTCAGCAGCTCGACTTAAGCCCGAAGGTAGAGGGCCAAAAAAAGCTCGAGCAGCCCTCAGACAATGTCCCCCCCCAGGTCCGCTTTGGCAGCGTAGACCCCACGGTTCACATCTCGCACTCCCCTCCACCCATTCCACCGGTAGCGCCGGGCCATCCACCCTACCCCCACCACATCCCACCATACATTCCAGGGAATCCACCCCCGCCCTTCCTTCAGAATCTCCCTCCACACTTTGCGCCCCAGCGCCCATACTATCCGGCCCCTTATTACAACAGCTTTGGCACATTTGCTCATGCTGGGCCTCCTCTGCCGTTCAACCCCGAGTATCCCGAGTACCTGTATGGCCGCCCAATCCTTGCCCCTCATCCCTATCATGGCCCTGTAGATCCCTCGCAAACGCTTGGCCTCTCCTCAGCGCCTCTAGGGGTTCTGCCACCAGCGTCAGCAGCATGGAGGCCGCACCCTCTTCCGAGCCCCCCACTGCAACCCAACCGCCCCCCGCACCCCTCTCCCGGTCTGTCAGAGTTCCCAGCTGCACACCAACCCCCATGGACTCCCCCCCAACCGCATCACCCGGTCGCAGGGTCAGCCTTCACTCCTGAGCGTCCTTTGTCATCAGGAGGGGATCAGGCTGTAGCGCCCAGCGAGATAGTAATGCAATTGGAGGAGCCGCTGGGGAGCGGGGCGAGTGAGCTCGAGGAGCAGGCAGGCAGCACGGAGGAGGTGGAGGAGGGGCAGCAGCAGCATCGAGATGCTCTGCAGGCACATGGGGAGAGCGAGAGGCAGCCTGAAGCGGAGCCTGCCTTGGCTGATGGCCAACACGCAGCCTCCCTGCAGGAGGACGCGCCGCAGGACCAGCCGTCGGCTAACGTGGACGAAGAGCCCGGGGCTCCCACCGGGTGGGGCGCGCCGCCTAGTAGCATGCAAGAGGCAGCCGTAGTGTCTGGGAGTGCAGCAGAGCCTTCGGACGATGCATCGGCGGCCAGCAGTAAGGAGGAGGTGCCGGCTGCTGCGGAGGCAGCGGCAGCGACGGGCAAGCCCAAGTCGTGGGCCGCGCTGGTGGGCAAGGCAGCAGGGCAAGGAGGCTGGGCGCAGCCGCCAGTGCAGGCACCCCCCACGCGAAGTAACCACAGCGGACCCAATGCGCAGGGAAGAGCGCCGCCGGTGAGAGGAGGAGAGAAGCCGCAGCTGTCAGGTGAGGGGCGATTAAGTGATTGCTCTCTGGGCTAGGCTGCTGCCGCCATGATGTGCTTGAGTAAACCTAGCATTCCGCTGATGGGCTCATGATGGGTGGCACAGTGCCAGAGGTTTGAGCAGAAGCGTGCCGGCGCAGGTTTGCAGAGATGCTTGGTTCGCTTGTCGTGGTGATGGCCAACGATTATCCAAATCGCTGAGGAGTGCTCAGCTTTGCCTCCTCGCTGGCTGCGTCAGCCCTGTTTTGGTTCCCTGCAGGTTCTGGATGGATCCGGCAGCTGCGCGAGGCGACACCCCTGCGGTTGCGGCCAAGGGGACTGGTGAACACGGGCAACTCGTGCTTTCTCAACTCCACACTGCAGGCGCTCTTTGCGTGCCCGCCTTTCCTACTGCTCGTCAACCAGCTGAAAACTGCCCCCCTAAACTCGGTGCGTCACCACTGCCTGGGCCAGATTCCATGTGCGCCCATGATTGCAAAGTGGCAAAAAAGAGGCAAAAAGGAGTTGCAGAACTGCTGCTTTTTATGCTAGTGCTAGCCAGCTGCAACCTGAGTGCTGCAATCAGAATCTATTCGTTGGAAAGGTGGACAGAGTGGAGGAGGCTCTCTGGTTATCAGTCTTGGCGTTTTTTCGCCAGGGACTCTGCCCTCACAGTAATTCTGGATGATTGCAAGGGATTGTCCTGCCGGAGGTTCTATGGAAGGCACCTGACTTTATTTTTTGATTTGGGCTTCCGGGGTAGCTTTTGAAGTCTCCGCCTCCATTCTGCTGGCTCACATGAGCCAGTTTCCCCTCCCTTTTCCCTGCTGCCTGCCTGACTCCCCCGCGCTCACTCTTGCAGGATGAGTACCCCATGCTGTGGGCCCTCGTCACATACCTCGGGCAGTTTGACACCCGCTCTGGCTCCCCGCCTGTTGCTCCCTCCCGAACCGGTCCTGGTGGGAGCACCCCCGTGGATGTGGGCCAGCCATTCACGCCCGACATGTTTGTAGACGTGCTCCATCGGTTCAGCCCCCAGACGCCGCAGCGTGGCTTGCGCAGGGCCAGGTACGTGCTGCCGCTGCCAGGCCACCCTTATGCTGTGGAAAGTGGGCACACAATGCCCGACTTGCGCTTCTTGCATTTCAAAGTTGCTTTCCGGCCCCGCTATCCATCTTCAAAGCAGCCTGGTTGCCCGGAGCTACTGGGGGCTGCCAGGGCGGCTGACGTGTGAGCTGACGTGTTTGCTGCTGGCTGGGGGTGCAGGCAGGAGGATGCGCAGGAGTTCCTGAGCTACGTCATGGACCGCATGCACGAGGAGCTGCTCAAGCTGGAGGCCGCCCCCGCGGAGGCGCCCCCCGCCAGGGTGCCCAACGGGCCGCTGCCCAACGGGGCAGCCGCAGCAGCGGGCGGGCCGGGCGAGGGAGACGACGAGTGGGAGACAGTGGGGCCCAAGAACAAGAGCGCAGTCACGAGGATGCACACGCACGCGGAGTCGGCACTCAGCAGCATCTTTGGGGGGTCGCTGCAGAGTCTGGTCAAGACAAAAGGTGAGTGGGGTGTCAGAACAGGGTTTTGTTCAACTTGCAGTCATGGCCGGCAAAGAGATCAGTCGCTGCCAGACTCTGCGGAGCTGGTGTCAGCCGATCCGTTCCGTTTGCGTCTGCAGCAGGTGTTGGCGTCTGTTGTCAAGGCGGTCGTAGACATGCTCATCATATAACGAGCAGCCTTCTTCCGGGGTCTGGATTGTTTGTGCATCTTGGATGCTCTTTCACTGTAAGCGTGTCTTTCGACGGCTGAATGGATTAAGTGGACCATAACTCAATGTACCCTCGTGTCCGAGCTGTAAACAAGCCCACGGGCTTGTTTCTCTGCTTAGCACTTAACATGGCTGAGTCGCGGGGACCAGTGCCGGTCAGTTGGCCCGTGCGTGCTGACCGTCTGCTGCGCGTGGGTGCAGGGAGCAAGGCGAGCGCGACGGTGCAGCCGTTCACGATTGTGCCGCTGGACATTGCGGCGGAGGTGGTGCGCAGCGTGGAGGACGCGCTGCAGCTGTTTGCCGCGCCCGAGACGCTGGACGGCTACCGGGCGCCCAACAAGACGGAGGTGGCGGCCAGCAAGCTGCTCAAGATTGCCACGCTGCCGCGCGTGCTCGTGCTGCACCTCATGCGCTTCAGCTTCTCGGGCGAGCGCGGGTCGTCCAAGGTGCACAAGCCCGTCAAATTCCCGCCCACGCTGACCATCCCCGTCAAGCTGCTCACCTCGCCGCCCGCGCCAGCAGAGGTACGCACGCGGCCCGCAGTGCCATCCATGTGGAAGGGCCTAGGAAAGCACAGTGCTGGTTTGTTTGAGAAGCTCCCTTCTTACAGAGCACTTCCTCAGGGCGTTGAGTGTGTTGGTACACGGTTTCAGACTGGTACTGGAGGACATCTGAATGCGCTCAGCTTGATCATGCAGTGCTCAGCTCACTCGGGCAGCGCTCAGCTCGATGACGCAGCTGAAGATCAGTTGCTCTGTGCTTGTTTTTGTGCTCCCAATCATCTCATCCGGGATTCTTCATTTCTGTTGCAGATCCGGCGGTACGAGCTTGTTGCAACGGTGTCTCACATTGGGAAGGACCCGTCTGGCGGTCACTACACGGCGGACGCCCGGCAGGAAGACGGGCGGTGGCTGCGTTTTGACGACAGCACGGTTTCAGTAGTGAGCCTGAACAGAGTGCTTCATGATCAAGCGTACCTGCTACTATACAAGCGAGTTGTCCAATAATTCGAATGAACGTGGGGTAGCGTCATGCGCTAGAAGTAGGTCGCTAGAAATCTAATTTCTTTAGCAGGATGGTTGTGCAATGCCGGTCCACTGTTTGCTTCGACAACATTTTTGGATGACGAAGCCCAGGAAGAAGATGCAAACACAGAAGCGATTTGTGATGTCCGAGTCCTTTGCGCCGGCAAACGGTTACCTGCTGATGTCCCATGCGGTTGTTAAATTTCTGATTGGTTTTCTTCTTTGCAACTACTTCCGACGTTGACAACTCTCAGTCCAGGTGTACACCATAAATTGTGATCATGACCACACATGATGTAGCGGTCGAGTCCCTTAAAGCGGTTTGCTAATGATGTTGGCATTGTATAAACGACTTGTTGAGCTCCGACCGGGCCTGCCGTCACGCAAACCGGGGGAAGACAATGACTTTTTTGTTTACCTTCTAGTTCCCGAGTTTCAGTAATTCCTGTTCAGGGACCTGAATGATCATGCGGCCGAAGTTGGATATACCCATGTCGTAGATTGCTCAAGTCAAAAAGCCAAGATGAGCCCATTGATCTGGTACTCAGTATAACCACCGGCCCATGGTTAGTGCCATGACCAAAATTCATGAAAGGTAATATTACTTAGCCAATCATATCATACCCCCGGGGCTTGAGTCAGGCTTGGACACGTGACCATGCAGACGATCGATCAGTGCTTGCCGCCCAACAATTTGCCCGTCAGCGTGGCCGAACAGCGTGCAGCCGAGGACCTGCTGCCAAGCTTATCAGCTGCATGTCATGGGTCGGGCTTAACCGTCTTGAATATATCGAAATTGCTATAGTACGTACATATATTTTTGACGCGGTCCCCCGGATCCTCTTTGCATGCATAGATCGAGGATCCCCGGCGGCCCTCGATCATGTGCACAATTAAGCAGCTAATCATTGAATTCCTTAACCTAGGCTGCAATTATAAGCCCCGCGGGCCCAGATCTTTAAGAATCTTGCTATACCTACAATTTAAAAAAAAAAATGCGTGCGGTAAATACATACCTGGTATAAATATAGCTGTATGATGCAAGGTCGTTACACTATATTATGATCTTGATCCGTAAATTGAAATTTTGCCTAGCCGTTTTTATCGTGCGAAGTTTATCAAGTCCGATCGCCACGCGGACCCAGCGCCAAGCAACTAGGCGTCATTATGCTCGAGTGACATATCCTGGATCGATCTATATCAACGATGGGGTCGCATTCTTCATGTACGTGCGCTTTCAGAATCCGCAAAAATCACGGAATTTGCATGTTAGGGTTTTGGGGTTTCCAAGATTTTCGGTTATGACGTCAACTCTGCGTTTTACGGGGAAAAGAGAGGGTTTTGAAGTGATGCGATACATTTGGGTCACACTGATAATGCGCTTTCAGGATCTGCAAAAAAAAAGGAAAATTGGAAGTTAGGGTTTTTAAGGTTTTCAACTTTGAAATCGATGACGTCATCGTTTTAGGGTGTTAGGGTTTTAGTGTTTTCTACCAAAAAACTCGCAAACTTTCGAGTTTCGCAAATGAAAGTCGCGTGTCTTTC